TTTCAATCAATCAATCAATCAATCAATCAATCAATCAATCAATCAATCAATCAATCAATCAATCAATCAATCAATCAATCAATCAATCAATCAATCAATCAATCAATCAATCAATCAATCAATCAATCAATCAATCAATCAATCAATCAATCAATCAATCAATCAATCAATCAATCAATCAATCAATCAATCAATCAATCAATCAATCAATCAATCAATCAATCAATCAATCAATCAATCAATCAATCAATCAATCAATCAATCAATCAATCAATCAATCAATCAATCAATCAATCAATCAATCAATCAATCAATCAATCAATCAATCAATCAATCAATCAATCAATCAATCAATCAATCAATCAATCAATCAATCAATCAATCAATCAATCAATCAATCAATCAATCAATCAATCAATCAATCAATCAATCAATCAATCAATCAATCAATCAATCAATCAATCAATCAATCAATCAATCAATCAATCAATCAATCAATCAATCAATCAATCAATCAATCAATCAATCAATCAATCAATCAATCAATCAATCAATCAATCAATCAATCAATCAATCAATCAATCAATCAATCAATCAATCAATCAATCAATCAATCAATCAATCAATCAATCAATCAATCTATTTGTTTGGTGCCGTTTCAACAGTCATTGCTCAAGGTACAATTCCAAAAAAGAGATTATTAAAAAAAAACAAAAGATGCTTTCTGAGTAGTGACTTAAAATTATCAAGTGAAGGTGATGTTTAATGTTCAAAGTAAATTATTCCAGAGCCTTAGTCCTGCAGTGCTTAAATCCTGATCTGCTCAGCTATGTTTGCACCTCGGGATGCCCAGGAGCAGTGGTGGACCGTCAAGGCAAGCAAGGTATGCAGTGCATACCCTGGCTAAAACAAATAAGAAAATATAGCAGTACAGTTTCTGCGTTTGTTTTAGCATTTCTTAGCCACAATCTTCTATATAAACCTTTATTTTTTCGAGTGGATTGCTGTAGTTTATTGGAAAAGCAAAGTTTTTCAATGTTTAGCCTATTTTGGTATCTAGGATAAGTCACATTCAGGCCTATCAGCTGCTTAGAATTTCCGCATGGCTGGTTTTCAATATCAGCCAATCACGTATTGAGTGAGTCAATGGAATTCAGATATACTCTTTGGTACCCTACAACACTTAAATTTTCTATTGTGACAACCGTGTGGTGGCGTCAGAATAGCCAATTTAACGCTGGAATGGAAGCGCTGCTTCCAAGAGTATGTGCGCATGCTCTTCTTCTCGCAAATCAGGACATTCACTGCCGATCGGGTATTCTATCTATATGCCTAATCTCAATGATTAAAGTTTAGATTAAATTTGCATGCATAATAACCGGTATACTGTAGAAGAAACTTTGAATTATTATTATTCAAATTGAAATATGTTAAAATAGAGGAATAGGAATTATTTTGAAAAGAAGAATACTACAACCATGGAGGTATTATTGAGAAGGAGATCACTCGGCAACAGTTCCCTTTGACGCAACAAACCCATGTGTTCCCCGCTTTTGCATCGCGCGCGGGCATATTACCCTATAATTCACATTTTTTTGTTAGCAACAACTTGGCAACGACATGCATTTATACACTTACAGCAGAGCAGTTGTGCAATAAAGCGTTTGATTTTAACCCATTAAATATCTTTATAATGAACAGTGTTCCCCTGATTAGATTTTTTCGAACCTTTGGTATGTTATTATTTGTATATTTCAGGAACGGATTTCGTAAAATATTTATGTTAAAATTACTTCTGTGTTCATCATAATTTTGTCTAAAGATTGATTTGTTCGACTATAAAGCTAAGTCAGAGTAAAACTGAAAAATACTCAGATTTTGGATTGATTTTTCGAATAGTTAACCCTAAAATGACTTAGTTTATTATAATCCTCAATCATTTATTAATTAATATCTGTTAAAATTAGAATTAGCAAATTTTGGCCAATTTATGGAAATTGAAGTTGAAATACACTATACTTAAAGGTCATGTAAATGTTCTATTAAATTCGAAACTTTTTTTGGTGGAAAATATTAATATGTTTGATATTTTATGAGAGGTAAATGTATCAGCTTCAAAATTGAAACGATTGCGCAGCCATAGTGATTGATTGTATGTAGTGCGCATCGAGAAAAGAAGGTGCTCTCCATTTCTCCATGTTCAATTTTTTGGTCAATTATGCCTGCTGAAAATTTGATGGCGGGGAACACATGGGACTTCAAAGGCATCGTGTAAACGTGCTTCACGCGCTGCGGCAGCTTTGATCTTGGTTCATTTGCATAGCGCTGCGTGCGCGTAGCTTTTTCAAGTGATCTCCTTCTCAGTAATACCTCCATGCTACAACCATGCCGGTATTAAAAATAACATACACCTGTTATTAAAAAGGTCTCTCTTAATAAGCAACTACTTACAAACTATAGACCGGTTTCAAATTTACCGTTCATTGGCAAATTAATTGAGAAAGTTGTTTCTTCGCAACTGGCTACATATATCTATAGAAACAACCTTGCCGACCCCTTTCAGTCGGCCTACAGACGTTCCCATAGTACAGAAACTGCACTAATCAGATGTGTATAAGAGACAGCTTCCACTCTGCGGGGATGTAGAGGAGGACGGAAAAAACATCTGCGTGCTATTCGCGCTGAACTTGATTTAAGTGCTGATACACATCTAAACTCTTCTGACTCCTCATTTTGCAATGGTACTAGGATTGGTTTGTGGAACGCCCAATCGGTTTGCAACAAGACCAACCACTTGTGTGATTTGTTAACGGAATATAACACTGACATAATGTTCTTGACGGAAACCTGGTTACGAGGTGATGATCAAGTCATAGTCGGTGAAATGACTCCACCTGATTACTCTGTCATCAATATTCCTAGAGGAGTCAACACTCGTGGTGGTGGTATTGGAGCTGTCTACAAGACGCATTTGAATCTTCATCTCAGGAATGATACTCATTTTCAAACCTAAGTCTTTTGAGCATGTTGTTATTTCATGTTCTGGTGTTAACTTTGTTATCGTTTATCGACCTCCTGCATCTGCCTTACTAAAAACTTCAGATTTCCTTGTAGAATTTGAGGACTTCCTCGGATGTCTTGATCTTCTTCCAGGAAGGATACTGGTGCTTGGTGACTTTAATGTTCATTATGATGCTCCGCACAAGCCTGATGCTGTATCTTATACACATCTAGATGTGTATAAGAGACAGATCATCAGGAAATTAAAAAAACAACACGTCAAAAATGTGATCGTTGTGGATTGAGTAATCATACACGTGATGCATGTAGGCATAAATATGCCACTTGTTTTAAATGCAATAAACAGGGACATTTGAAATCAGAATGTAAACAAATGCAACCCAATCGAGGACACAAAAATAGTACTCGACGACGAAAATTCATCAAACAGGTAGCAACACCAGATGACTATGAAACATCAGGTAATGACATTTTTGTTGACTCCTTTAGGTTATAGGTAGACCCAGGCCTCTCAGTGAATATGTAAATCTGCATAGCATTGCAGAATGATGTGTTGTTATTAATGGCGCAGGATTCAAATTCAAATTCAGCCATGATGGTGTAGCTAGTTAAATTAATATCAGTATATGACATAAAACATACTTGAATAGGATGTTCATCACTGGA